GGTTAGGACTTATACGAATTTTAATTTGGGTAGAAGTTTACAGGAATGACTTATTTCTAAGCTTAGTCATATTTACATTTACTTTATCACTTACGGTTACCAAAAACAAGCTAATATAAAAATCCTAACAAGAAATACCATGAAATGAAGATGAATCAAATAAAGAGGATAATGAAAGAGGCATTATAAAATTTGTACCAGCAGAATGATTCCAAAACTTAAGGTCTTTGAAACCATTAACTTTAACCATTTAAAAAGTAACCCTCAACATTACTTTTATTCTATTAAAAAGTTAATCCCTGGTTTGGAACAAACTAAATTTATTTAGGCAAATGACCATGGAAAACAATACAACTTAAAGGAATAAACATTACATAATTTGCTAAATCTTAAAACTATGGAAATAAACCAGAATAAGAAAGCAATTTTAAAATTAGATAAAAATTACTCTATCATATATCAATAGTTATTAACAAAGATATGACCTAAAACGTTAATCCCTTGTTCTTGTTGGGTGTATATAAAAGCTGGCCACATAGTCATCTGGACTGTCTATTAGGAAAAGTAATGTTCTATTACCAGAAAATGATGTTTTTCTTCTGCTCTCCCCACTTTTTTTTTTTTTTTTGAGATCGGAGTCTTGCTCTGTCATTCAGGCTGGAGTGCTGTGGCCTGATCTTGGCTCACAGCAATCTCCACCTCCTGGGTTCAAGCAATTCTCTGCCTCAGCCTCCCGAGTAGCTGGGATTACAGACGCCTGCTACCACACCCAGCTAATTTTTTGTATTTTTAGTAGAGACAGGGTTTCACCATATTGGCCAGACTGGTCTTGAACTCCTGACCTCATGATCCACCTACCACAGCCTCCCAAAGTATTGGGATTACAGGCATGAGTCACCATGCCCAGCCTTCCCTTTTTCTTTTAAGACAGCTTTACTGATGTATAAGTGACACAAAAGCATAAATGTGGTAAGTTCTGACATATTTTTACACTCATGAAACCACTGGTATGGTCGAGTTAATGAACAGATCCAACACCCCATAATTTTCCTTATGCCCCTTTGTAGTCACTCCCTTCTTTTCCCCTGCCAGCGGGCAACCATTGATGTTATTTCTATCACTATAGACTAGTTTGTATTTCCTAGAATTTTACGTAATTATTTTGAGATTCTTCTTGCAAGTTATTAATAGTTTATTCCTTTTAAAATTGCAGCATGGCATCCCATTGTATCAAGGACATACCATACTTGCTTCATCCATATATATTAGTTTATGGATATCTGGGTTGTTTCTATTTTTTTGGTTCTTACAATTCAAGCTGCTTTGAGTATTCCTATTCAAGTATTTGAATCAACATTCTTTTGTTGTGGGGAAATATCTTGGGTGGCTGGATCACACAGTAGGTGGTGTATATTTAATTTCTAAATAATTCCCAACTGTTTTCAAAAGTGGTTATGTAGTTTCATATTCCAAGTATGTGAGAGTTCCGGTTCCTCCAAATGCTTATCCTTGGTGTAGCTAATCTATTTCATTTTAGTAATTGTATTAGGTGTGTAGTGGTATTGTGGTTTTTGTCTACATTTCCCAATGAGTTAGTGATGTTTATCATCATTTCCCGGACTTATCTGCCATCTAGATATCTTCTATGTTCAAGTATCTCTTCAAATATTTTGCCCATTTAAAAATAATTGGGTTTCTTTAACTTAACAATAGAGTCTTGCTCTGTCGGGTTTCTTTAACTTTAATGACAGGGTCTTACTCTGTTGCCAGGCTGGAGTGCTGTGGTGTGATCTCGGTTCACTGCAACCTCCGTCTCCTGGATTCAAAAGATTCTCCTGCCTCAGACTCCCGAATAGCTGGGAGTACAGGCACATACCACCACACCCAGCTCATTTTTATATTTTTAATAGAGACAGGGTTTCAGCATGTTGGTTAGGACAGTCTCTATCTCTTGACCTTGTGATCCACCTGCCTCAGCCTCCCAAAGTGGTGGGATTACAGGCGTGAGCCAGGGTTCTTTATATATTCTTGATACAAGTCCTTTGTGAGATATGACTTGAAAATATTTTCTCAGTATTATGTGGCTTACCTTTTCATTCTTTTAACAGTGTCATTGGCAGAGCTGAAGTTTTTAATTTTGATGAAGACCAATTTATCAATTTGTTCTTTCTTAGGTGTTGCTTTCAAAGTCATGTCTAAGAAGTCTTTTCTTATCCCAAGGTCATAAAGATTTTTTTCAATGTCTTCCTTTAGCAGTTTTATTGTTTATGGTTGTTCATTTAGGTCTATGATACATTTTGAGTTCATTTTTTTTTTTTATATGGAGTGTGGTACGGTCTGAAGTTTCTTCTTTTGTATATGGATATCCCTTTGTGGAAAATATATTGTGGAAAAGGCCACACCATTGTGGAAAAGACAATGCTTTCCATCTTGGGCTAAAATCAGGTATCAAAGTTTGGGCCTACTTGTGAACCATCTTTATATTTCACTGATATTATTGAACATCAATACCACACTGTCTTGAATGCTGTAGCTTTATACTAATTTTGAAATCAGGTAGTGTTGCTCTCCAACACTGCTCTTTTTCAAAGTTGTTTTTAGCAATTATTCCAGGTCCTTTGAATTTCCACACAAATTTTAGAATAAGTTTTTCAATTTCTAAAAAAAGCCCACAAGAGTTTTGATCAGGACTGCACTGATTCTATACAGACAGGGTTTTACTCTATCACCTAGGCTGCAGTGCAGAGATGTGATCAGCTCACTGCAACCTTCGCCCTCTGGGCTCAAGCAATCTTCCCATCAGGCTCCTGAGTAGCTGGGACCACAGGCGAGTGAGTGCTCCCACACCTGGCTAATTTGTTTTTTTGTTTGTTTTGTTTTTTGTTTTTTTTTTTTGTTTTGTAGAGATGGGTTTTTGCCACACTGCCCAGGATGGTCTTGAACTTTTGGGCTCAACTCAAGCAATCCACTTGACTAGGCCTCCTAAAATGCTGGGGTTACAGGTGTGAGCCACTGCACCCAGTCTAAGTCATCTTTAACTTCTCCCAATTTGTAGTTTTCAGCATGTGGATTTTTCTACTTTTGTCAGATTTATGAGCTACATATTTCATATAAATATATGTTCACATATAAAATATTTCATATTTTTGATGCTAGGGTAAATGGTAGTTTTTAATTTAAATTTCTGATTGGTTGCTGCTAGTATATAAAACACATTTCTGTATATTGATCCGGTATCTTGCAACCTTGCTAAACTCACTTGTTAGTTCTAAAAGCATCTTTGAATATTACACAGAACAATCACAATGACATCTGTGAATACAGTTTTACTTCTTTCCAATCTGGATGATGTTTATTACTTTTTCTTGCTTTATTGAATTGCTAGAACCTCTAGTACAAATGCTAAATACAAGTGGTAAGAGTAGACATCCTTATCTTGTTCTTGTGAGAAAAGCATTTTTCTTTCACCGTTAAGGAAGATGTTAGCTGGACATTTTTCAGATATCCTTTGTCATGTTTAGGAAATTCCCTTCCATTTCCAAGGTTTTTTTTTTCCAATCGGGAAAGTCTGGGTGTTGAATTTTGTCAAAGCTTTGTCAAATGCTTTTTCTCTGCCTACTGAAATGATCAAATAACTTTTCCTTTTTAATGTGTTAATACGGTAAATACTGTTTCTGACCATTAGATCAATCTTGCATTCCTGAGATTAACCAAACTTGGCCATTATATATTATCCTTTTAAAAGACCTTGTTGGATTTAATTTGCTAACCTTTTGTATAGAACAGATGTATCTATATTCATAAAGGATATGGGTCTAGAGTTTTGTTTTGTAACATCTCTGTCTGATTTTGGTAGAGTAATGGCCTCATAGAATGAGTTGGGAAGTATTCCATCCATTTCAATTTTATGGAAGAGAATATATATAATTGGTATTATTTCTTCCTTAACTATTTGGTAAATTTTAACATACAGATATTAGTGCCTAGAATTTTGTTTGTGGGAAAGTTTTAAGCTGCCAATTCATAATTTCTTTAATAGACTTAGGCCATTCATCTTATCTATTTCTTCATGAATAAGCTCAGTGGTTATGTGTCTTTCTAGGAATTAGTCTATTTAAATTATGTAATTTATTGGCATAAAGTTGTTCATATTTTCTTATCCTTTTAATGTTGGTAAAACTTGTCATGGTTTTACCTTTTTCTCTTTACTTCTATCAGTAGGCTAGAGTTTATCAATTTTCTTGAACTACTCAACCAGCTTTTGCCTTCATTAATTTTCCCTATTGTTTTTCTGAAAGTTTTCTATTTCATTTGATTTCTGCTCTGATCTTCATTATTTTCTTGCTCTTTCTTCAGATTTAATGTACTCTTTGTTTTTCTAGTTGATATGTTGATGTCACTGCTTTGAGTTTATTATCTAATAAAGGTGTTTAGTGCTAAGTAACTACTTTTGTAACTTTAGTGGCATCTATGCATTTTAATATCCTGTATTTTTATTTCAAAAAAGTTCTAATTTCCATTGTGAGTTCTTCACCAGGTGTTCAGTGTACCTGTTGTAGGAATTATTGAGAAGGGTACTGAAATCATAATTTCAATGTTTATATTTCCTTGACAGTTTATCAATTTTTGGTTTACGTATTTGGGAGCTCTGTTATTAGGTACATAGACCAAGTGTGGTTTAGGATTATGTACTCTTGATGAGCTGACCCTTTTATTATTATGGAATGGCTATTTTTATCCCTGATCATATTCTTTGCTCTGAAAAATATTTTTGTCTAATCTCAATGTAGCCATGCCAGCTTTCTTTTATCTTGCTTTCACTCTATTTGTGTCGTAATAATTGAAGTAACTTTCTTATGGGCAACATATTTATGTCTTGGCTTTTTTTGCCCTCAATCTGCCAGTTTCTGCCTTTTTATTGGGGTATTTAGGCCATTTATATTTAATGTGTTTACTGACATGCTTAGGTTTTAAATCTATAATCGCTATGTATTTTCTACTTGTCCCACTTGATTGTTGTTGCCTTCCTCCTGTCATCTTTTGAATTAACTAATTTTTTATGATTTTTATCAGCCTTGTTGGCTTATTTTTTATTTATTTGTATTTATTTATTTATTTATTTATTTATTTTTGAGACAGAGTTTCACTCTTGTTACCCAGGCTGGAGTGCAATGGCGTGATCTTGGCTCACCGCAACCTCCGCGTCCTGGGTTCAGGCAATTCTCCTGCCTCAGCCTCCTGAGTAGCTGGGATTACAGGCATGCGCCACCATGCCCAGCTGATTTTTTGTATTTTTAGTAGAGATGGAGTTTCACCATGTTGACCAGGATGGTCTTGATCTCTTGACCTCGTGATCCACCCGCCTCGGCCTCCCAAAGTACTGGGATTACAGGCGTGAGCCACCGCACCCGGCCTGCTTATTAACTCTTTTATTTTAGCAGCTGCTTTAGCTTATCAGTCTACCTTCAGTGATATATTATACCACTTAATGTATAAGAACCTCAAAGTACTAATAGCACAGTGGACTGGTTCCAGGAACCACTGAACATAACAAAATCCACAGATGTTCAAGTCTCTTATATAAAATGGTGGATTTGCATATACCCTATGCATATCCTCCCATATATTTTAAGTCATCTGTAGATTACTTATAATACCTAATACAATGTAATGATGTGTAAATAGTTGTTACACTGTACTTTTGTTGTTATATTATTTTTATTTATTTATTGAGACAGGGTCTTTGTTGTTCAGTGTGGAGTGCAGTGGCACAATCTTGGATCACAGCAGCCTCAACTTCCAGGGCTCAAGCAATCCTCCAATCTCAGTCTCATGAGTAGCTGGGAATACAAGTACACCATGCCTGGCTAACTTTTTTATTTTTTGTAGAGATAGGGTCTTGCTGTGTTGCGTAGGCTGGTCTTAAGCTCCTGGGCTCAAGTAATCCATCTGCATTGGCCTCTCAAAGTGCTGGGATTACAGGTTTAAGCCACCATACCCTGCCTCAAATATTTTTGATCTGTGGTTGACTGCATCCACAGATGTGGAATCCAAGCATATGGAGGGCCAAGTGTATTTCTGATTCTCTCATCCCACCCTTTATGCTACTACTGTCTTAAATTCCCATTTTATTTATATTAAAAATCGTTCTCTATATCTTTATTTTTGATTAAGTTGTTTTAGTTTGCTAGTGCTGCTGTAACAAAGTACCATGAACTGGGTGGTTTAAACAATACAAATTTATTTTCTCATAGTTCTGGAGGCTTAGAAATCTGAGAGATCAAGATTTTGGGAAGATTTCTACCTGACTAAAGCACGTCCCCCTTGACATTTCTTATGATACAAGTTGCTAATATTGAAGTATTTCAGCTTTCATATATCTGAGGAAAATCTCATTTTGAAAGATATTTTGGCTGGGTATAAAATTCTAGGTGACTTTTTTCTCTCAGTACTCTAAGCATTTAAGACATTATCACTAGTTTTAGAAGTTTGATTATGATATTCCTTGGTGTAATTTTCTTCATGTTTCTTTCATTTGGGATTTGCTGGGCTTCTCTGAATTTGTGAGTTAATACCTTTCATGAAATTGGAAAGTTATTGGCCATTATTTTTTCAAATCTCCCACCTTCTGGGAGAGATTCTAATTATGCTTATATTTAGCTGCTTAGATTTGTATCACTGATGCTCTTCTATTTAAAACATTTTTTGTTTAATTTTAGATAGTTGCTATTGTTGTAACTTCAATTTACCTTTCCTTCTACAACATCTAATATGCAGTAATCCCACTGGTATGTATTTTCACATTAGACATTGTAGTATCTGTCTCTAGATGACAGATTTGGGTATTTTAAGATAGCTTCATGGTTCTACTTAGCTTTTTATACAGTTTTGATATGTTTTATTAAAATAAAACCATATTGAAGCATAACACATATAGGAAAGAGCACAAACTATAAATGTTTAGCTCAAGGAATTTTCCCAAACTGGTATTATCTCTATTTTAATGTCCTTGTTTCTATGTCAGTTCAAAGTTGTTTGTTGTTAGCTGATTTATCTCCTCACTATGGGTCCTATTTTCTTACTGCTTTGCATGGCTATTTTTTTTTTTTTTTGGATGTCAGACATGGTGAATTTTACCTTGGTGGGTACAATAGCTATGGATTGCTATAAATATTCCTGAACTGTGTTCTGGGATGTAGTTAAGATACCTGGAGACAATTTGAACTTTTTGGGTCTTGCTTTTAAGATCTGTTATGTGGAACTAGAGCAGTGTTTATCTAAGGCAAATTATTATCCATTATTGAGATAAGACCCTTCTCTGTGTACTCTATTCAATGTTTGTGAATCTTGAATGTTCCAGCATGGCTGGTGGGAACAGGTACAATATTAACACTTCCCTGTGTGAGTGCTGGCCACTATAACCTCTAATCCTTTCCGACAGTACCTTCTTGAGTCTCATGTAGTTTTCTCATATACATGTATGCTTATCTATACCTAGCTGAGTATTCAAAGGGGACCTTTTGCAGGCCTCTGGAGTTTTTCCTCCATGGTTTACTTATTTTCAGTAGACTATTCTAGAAACTCTAGCTGCCTTGGTCTCCTAGGACACTCAATGCCACCTTCACAACTCAGGGAATCACCTAGACTCTGCTTGGGTTTTTCTCTGTGCTACATCCTGGAGACTCTCAAGGCAATATCCTAGAGTAATTGTAGGGCTCATCTCATTTGTTTTCCATCTCTGAGCTCACTGTCCTTCATTATCTGATGTGTAGAATCAAAATTATTTCGAATATTCAGTCCACTCTTTTTGTTGCTTCAAGTGTTAGAAGAGGATAAATCTAGTCTGTGTTATCCCATCTTGGCAGGAAGAGTTAGTCCCTTTACTCTGTTTTAAAATTAGTTATAGAATTCTGAACTGTGAAACTCTGATTCTACTACTTACTAGCAGTTCTTTTGTCTTCCCTAGTGACTATACAATTCAAAGTTTATAGCCCTATCCATAAATAGATTTAATATTAAGCTTAAGGATCAAATGGTCATGATGTCTCAGCAGTCCCTGAAGAACATCTCTCATGTGTGTCTTGAGGAAGGAAGGGAAGAGAATCCATGCATGAAGCCATTGGGCTTTAAAACTGTAGTTCCTGATGGCACAAAAATTCTTTGCAGTGGTAAGCTAAGAACAGTGATTTTAGCATAGAGAAAACAGAAGTAGAAATAACAGTAATGGTTTTAGGACTTGGTTGTTCCTCATTGTCACTCATATAGATTTAATCTATTTAGTCATGCTCATCAAAATGATACATAATTAAAGAAATGTCTCATATGAAAGCTGAATCTTCATGCAGGAACTTTTTCAGTAACAACAAACATTTATTTAGCAGGCACTATTAAGAGGTACTATGCTTGGTGCTTTACAACATCCTATAAAATGTGGTCCACTACTAATTCCATTATACAGATGAGAAAACTGAGGATCAAATGGTGATGGAGAGGTTCAAACCTAGGTTGGAAGTATGATTCTACTCTTTTATTTAAAAAAGTATTAAATATATTAGGCATATATTAGGAATCTTCTAGGTTCTGGAAATATAGCAGCAGAGGAAAAAAAGTCTCTAACCCAAGGAGTTTACTCTAATCCATACTTTAAAAATAACATTAAATTTTGTAAACATTTAAATGCATTTTGTAAAAATTTTTATGTCTGGAGGTCTAACAATAGTAAAATGGTAAACATAATGAATTTATGTTATTCTGGAAAAATAACTTGTTCTGATATAAATAACTCATCTACCTTTAAAAAAATGCCTTTAACACAAACTCTTGGCATCACATGATTAAGGTAAAAGAAAGTTCAAGGTGGCCAGGTGTGATGGCTCATGCCGGCAATCCCAGCACTTTGGGAGGCAGGTGGATCCCCTGAGGTCAGGTGTTTGAGACAAGCCTGATCAACATGGTGAAACCCTGTCTCTACTAAAAATAAAAAGTCAGGTGGGCATGGTGGTGCATGCCTGTAATCCCAGCTACTTGAGAGGCAGACGCAGCAGAATCGCTTGAACCCAGGAGGCAGAGGTTGTAGTGAGTTATCATGCCACTGCACCTGAGCCTGGGCAACAAGAGGAGCGAAACTTCGTCATAAAAAAAAAAAAGTTGAAGCTGATAAGGAGGTGATCCTGTTTCACTGAATTAAAATTATAGTGTCATAATGATTGACCCACAGGAACATTCTCAAAGGAAAGGATAGTATCTATTATTTATTAAGTTCCTATAATTTACCAGGCCAAATGTTAAGTAGTTTCATTGACTCAAGTACAAACAAGCTGGATTTAATAAAATCTGGCTGACGCCAAAGCCCTTGTCTCTTTCTACCATTCCATAATGGCTCTACAACACTGTATATTTCAGAAAGAGATGCATTAAAAGAAATAAACCAAAGACAACAAAATGCAAAACCCAAACACAACAGCTATGGGGAAGTCTGTAATCTGAATTGAGATGGAGTCTCACTGTGTTGCCCCATGCTGGAATGCAGTGGTGCAATCTTGGCTCACCACAACCTCCAACTCCTAGGTTCAAGCGATTCTCCTGCCTCAGCCTCCCAAGTAGTATTTACAGGTGCCTGCCACCACACCTGGCTAATTTTTGTATTTTTTAAGAGAGACAGGGTTTCACCATGTTGGCCAGGCTGGTTTTGAACTCCTGACCTCAGGTGATCCGCCTGCCTCAGCCTCCTAAAGTGCTGGGATTACAGGCATCAGCCACCGTGCCCAGCTGAAGTTTCTTAATTCCAATGATTTTACTTTAATATAGTTCTAGACTATGGCTATTTAGATGATAAAGAAAATAAAGACAAAATTGGTTAAATGTTCATATTTTCACAAAATTTATTTAGGTTTGAATAAAAATCTCTTCTTAATGGGTACAAAGGAAATATATTTGCTATTTTAGGGATGCAAAGAAAGTGCTTTTCTTTTGTAAATATAGACGTAAAGTACTGAAGTCTGAAAACA